CAGTGTGCCACCGGACCGGCCACCCGGTGGCACCTTCCTCTGCCGCCCCCAATTCATCCCTGCCGCCGGGCCCCCTGAGGGCGGCCCTGGCGGCGGGCCCCCCTCCCGGCCCGGGCCCTCGGACCGTGTCCGAAGTGCCCGACCGGTCAGTCCGCCCCTGTATTCACATGTACTTACATTCATATACACATATGCATTCACATACATGCACATGGACACATGTTGACATACATACACACACAGACTCATACACACATACATACATACTCATACATACACACGGACTCAAACACACACAAATATTCATATATGCACACAGACTCATATACACACAGACTCATACACATACTCAAACTCATATACAACACATTTGTGTACACAGATAGACTCTTATATACACACACAATACAGATTCATAAAAACACATTCATGAACAAACAGAACAGATGCACACACACACACACACAGACACACACACACTTATATCCACACACGCTGATTTTTTAAATTGTTTTTATTTTTTATTTATTTATTTTTTAATAAGGTCCACCTAGTCTCCCTTTTCTTACCTAAAAATGTGGCTGGAATGGGATCTCATTACTGGTGTCCAGTGTGGAAGCTAGGATCACTGATTGCTGCCCAGCTCATCGAATCTCATTGCTGATGCCAGGACTGTAGGGAAGTCACACTCCAGCTCCCAGCAGCAGAACTGGGTGCATGAAGGAGCTGGGAAATCGATGCAGAGAGATCCCAGCATCCCCCTCTTCACAAACAGATCTATAAAGAGCGTTTAAATGAAAATCTTAAAATCCTTAGCTATTATATAGGACAGCATTATTAGGGTCAATATACAATTAATGTCTGTGCTGTAGCCTCATACTATATTTCCATACTCTTGGTTAATAAAATTAATTGATTTTTCATTAAAGCTAAACTCCATTTAGTGTACAGTGTACAATAAGTAGTGACATTACAGTGTAGGGTTCCTGGTGTACTAACTTTGTGACACTCATTTTTTTTTTATTAATGACACTGAGCTATGCTATACTCTGGGTGTGTATGAATGAATAATAAAAAAAAAGATATTTATTGAAGTTTTACTTCATTCAAATACATTTTATTCATCTTGCTGCATTATGATTGGTATCATCCCTGCTGAGAAACCAGAACATGCATATTACAGAGGTTTAGAAAGTATATATTTAAACATCCTTATATTTTTATTTTGTTTCTTCTACTTTTCCAAATTGTATGATGTAGCAACCAGTTGCTATCACCAATTCAAAATATATATTCATCCTATTCTCTTTTAAATTTGTTATCAAATACTTGATAATTCTCTACCTTACTCTGGGTAAACAGGGCGACATGTACAAATACGATATACATTCAAATGTTGATCCTTTTTTTTCATTAACATACATATAATTATCATTGTAACATTCTTTTAATATCAGTTGAATGGCTTGATCCAAGTCTCAAATAAAATGTCCCCAATATGTATATGTACTCTCTGCATTTTGTGAGAGAAATACTTTATGTTCACATTTAGAATTAATTCCATATAATGGAGTCACCAGCAAATGTTTCATGGAAGCAATAGTTTATCTTATAGATTCCAGTCACAAAATAATGGCCATCAAGTTTTAGGAGATAGATTTGAGTCGTATAAGCTTTTGAAATGCTTGTTTGAAATCCTCATTAAATACTGTGTAAATCACAGGGTTGATAAGTGAATTTAAATATCCCAACCAAGTGAAAAAGTCAAATAATATAGGATTGAACCAACATGCATCACTACAAATTGGCAAGACCAGAGATACCACAAAGAAAGGTAACCAGCAAACAATGAAAGCGCCAAGAATTATGCCGAGGGTTTTGGTGGCCTTTCTCTCTCTTGCAACAGACAATCGCTTTCTTTCTATAATGCTTCCTGCAAGCCTGATCTTGATGTGGTTTATACAGACTGGAGTACCATCTGAATTGCCCATATGTGCATTTGTGTTCACAGAGCAGAATGAAGAGCCGGTCGATCCTGTTATTAGCTGAGCAGTTGTAAATCTCTTTCCATAAATGGAGGGCGGCTTGAGAATTCTTGTTCGAGCTGCAATATAAATTCTCCCATATAAAATGATAAGTAATATGGTTGGTATATAGAATGCTCCACAGGTAGAATATATAGTGTAAGAGATTTGATCTGTGTTAACAGAACAATCTGTAAGTTCTTCGTGAGCTTTGGCTTGTCTCCAAAACAGTGGTGGGATGGAGATACAAATCGAAATAATCCAAACTACAGAAATCATGAGTGCTGCTCTCCCAGCTGTACGGTGTTTAGTATATTCTAGAGCATCTGTAATAGCCCAGTACCTGTCCAAGGCTATGACACATAGATGGAGTATTGAAGCTGTACAGCATGTGATATCCGATAACAACCAAATGTCACAAATAATTTGGCCAAAAGTCCAAGTGTGAGTGACAGTGTAGACAATACTTATGGGCATTACCAAGATGGACACCAACAAATCTGTGAAAGCCAGAGAACCAATTAAATAGTTGGCAGGGGTGTGTAGTTTACGACTCTTAAATATTGTTATAATAACAAACACATTTGAGAGAAGTGTTGCCAAAGTTATGAGAGATAAAAGAACAGCAAGAACGATCTTAAGTCCAAGTAATGTTGATGCTTCCCATTCTGTATTAGTGTCTGATGAATTTAATAACTGATCGAATGATGGTCCCATAGAATTATTATAATAATTCATTTTATATAAGCTATTCTGATATTTACATTATATCAAACCTGGATATAATGTTTCCATTTTTATTACAACATAAAAACCTATTTATGTTTCCACAACCAGGGCATGAAGTGGGCACATTTTTTAAATTGTGAATTTTAAGACTAAAAGAAACAATTTGTGTTCATACTTTCCATGAAATAAAATACATTCATATGTAATATTTCGATTATAGTATCAATACTATTTCTTCTGTAGAAAATGTACAATATAAATGAAAATATAAAGCTGTATCCTATATAACACACATTTCTACTTTGTTGTTAATTATAATCCTCGTTTTCCATGTAAAGCTGTTTTCAAACACTAGTAATTAAAATTTAAGTGGAATCTAAAAATTGAATTGCTTTAATTTTATTATTTAATGCATGTAACATTTCTCATCTGATAATTGTTTTGTGTTTTAATACGTTTTTTTTTTTTTTGATGGGGATTCTTTAAACCAAGTACAAAGCACATTCAGAAAAAAATATCAAGCAGTCCTCTTTATCAGTTCATGATGAGTTTACTTGTCTAAAAATCATTACATCCAATGGTATGTTTCCAAGAGGAGTGAAAATCTTCCTAAAGTTTTTAAGAAAAGTTATCCTTTGGTAGATTGCCTTTTCATTTGCAGTTGAACCAGTTTTGTTATCTTTTTTAAAAGGATGGTCTGTAAGAACATAACTCATCGTAGAATACATGTAGGTAGCTGTTTCATGTTTCAATCTGAATCAACTGTAACCAGAGATGCATATTTCTTTCTAAAAATCTTCATTCATTTGTAATTTTACCTAAAAAGAAGTAAAAAGAAAAACATTACAATTATGGGCTGGAATAAACATACTGTTCTTTACAAACATATTCAGATTCCTGACATCTTTTCATTCTAAATTATACTTGGCACCGTGGCATTTTGGTTTGGGTTGTTATCAATACTCATGAGGACTGGGTTGGGAACCCCTGCTCTCGACGGCAAGCTTGTTTAAAGCAACATATTGTTCCTGCAAGTTTTAGGTAATTGTCTCATTTATTGTTAAATCTCCCCCTCTTCTAATATTGTAATGCACTATGGAATTTGTTGGCGCTTTATAAATGCCAATAATAAATTACTACTACTACTACTAATAATAATATTATAACAAGTTATTCAATAAAGTATCTTAGCTCTAAAACAGGATTGTTTTGCTAGTTTACCAATTCAACTAATTGTCAGGGTTATTTACTACACTGAGAATTCAAAGTGAATATGATCAATTCTCTGTCACCTATTCTTCCAGTTTAGATACATTGGCCTTAAATTCAAAATTCAGTTTGGATTCTCCTTGAATTTGCTCTTTATTCAGTAACCCGGTTTATCTTATGCAATAACTAGTTCAACAATGAAATTTGCCAGTTTTTGCACACTGTAAACTATTTGCACTCTTCTATTGCCATCTAGTTGTTCTTTTTGGAAGCATTGAGAAATGATGGTATAAAAATCTGAAAATGGATATCTTTTTTATTTTTAATTAAGGGGATCAAGCAGTGGTGTATTTTGGATTTGTGCAGCCCTAGGCACGACTAAATTTGGGCACCCCCAAAATCTAAATTGGCCCCCCAATTCGTGTCAAGGCCACTTTTTTGACTGACAGACACATGCCCTCATTGATACATGGCTGATATACACTCATTGACAGATGCACAGTCATTGGCACACACATACAGTCATTGGCACACACTGTTTAACCACCACACACTTTCACTGACAGACACACACTAACAGGCACATACACTCAGACACATAAAATGACATACACACACTGACACACTCTCACAGGCACACCCATTCTCACTGAAAGACACACACACTTTCACTCACAAACACACACTGACAGCTACACTCACTTACTCACAGTAAGGTGGACAGCCCCAGAACATGAGGCAAACAAGGCATTTGTCTAGGAGCTTTGTATGGCGTTTCTTGGTGTCCCCCCTGAAAGTGCCGCCCTAGGCAAATGCCTTGTTTGCCTTGTGGTAAATACATCCCTGGGATCAAGCTAAGCTCTAAATGAGATCAATGTAAATGTGCATACCTAAAGAGACAGAAGAGGGTATTTTTAGTTTAAGTAGAGAAAAAAAGAGACAGAAAAAAGTATTTTTGAGATTAAGTATTCTTTAGTTTTAGCTGCAAGCAGTAAGGTAAATTGTTAGTGTAAGAACTTAATGGCATAGGTGAGTTTACACTTTAACGGCTATTTAAGTAATACTAAAAACCTCCTGTTATTTAAATGTGCACTTTGATTTGGAATAGAATGTAAGTAACTTTTTTTTTTGTTTTTGTTCTATGTATTTCGGCTGATGAATACTTATTGCCATTGATCAGTTTCTTACAGATCAGTTTCTACATAATTTGTTTAACTCAAAAATATAAAAAAATATATTAACAATTACAAAGTCAGAAATCAAAGATGCTGTTTTGTATAAAGGAAACCCAATTTTCCTTTTTGGGAGGATTATTTTTAAGGACCATCAGCTATCAGATATTATGTTGAAAATTACATTTACCTTTTTTTATTTAATTCAACTCAATTAATTTTCTATCTAAGCAGATATACATATATTTTTTTCTGGGTACATAATGGCAAACATAGGGAGAAGTATACATATTTTATTTTTAGTCACAGTCTTTTTTTACTACACGTTATTTGGAACTGAAATGTATAAAGGTCTGTTAGATTACCACTAGAGGGAATACGTGCATTATGTTTGAAAGACTAACTAACATGGGAGACCATTGTGTTTGATAAATTTACAGTGTAGATCCAAACATACATTTATTTTAACTCAAACATACATCTAATTTTGGTTAGAAAAAAAAAATTATTTCTGAAACTTAATTTTTTATTTACCATTTTTATTTTTACTTTATATTGTGAGCTAGTATGGAAACAAATGGAAGATCACCTAAATGTTGCAAAACAATAATCTCCCCGATAGGGGAGAGGGGAGCACAGCAGAAATAGAATAGTAGTGGGAAAGGCTAAAAAAGCTTATCTTTTATTAAGTAGTATTAAAAGGACAGAGCAATAGCTCAGCGTTAAGTGATTAACCAATTGAGCCTGAGGGCTACAGGGAAGAAAAGAGGAAAAGATGAACTGTATCCATCTACACGAAGGTGCAGGGTAAAAATAGGAGGTATGGGTACATCAAGTAATTGCCTCTCCCAGACAGTCCCAAATCACACCAACCTAATGTATGAAGTACTGGTAGGAATATTCCTATCACTCATTTCCAAACTGCAAAAAAAGGCTGTAAACAAAAGTGCTCATGGCAATGCGGGCAGTGACCACTGTGAAAACCAGAGTCCTGATTATCAGACATAAGTCATTTAAAAATACAGTTTTAAATGTAAAATACCTGTAGACACTCTAATTACCTCAGCATCACACAAGGCTAGTGCCTACCTGTACCAGATATCAATCAGACTGCAAGCAAAATAGACCTTAATCTAAAGTGCCCATAGTGCTACCCTTATAGTGTTAAACAAAAAAAGTGACAAGCGCCCGATGCCCATTTCAGCATGCTCTCATGCCATCATCAGGGAAAAATGTCCTAGCTATGCTGTCCAGGCCAAGTTAAATACCCTACCTTGTAATTAGCCATGTGTGCTGTGGGGGTCAAGCTGACCGTAAGCCAATAGGATATATAGACGGGGTTCCAAATAGGATTCACTTGGTGTTCCATTCCAAATGGGCTGTCCTCATCGCACTTTACAAGGTCCACCTTTCCCAAAGGGTCGTTACTCCTTTGTGCACCCTGGCCACTTATGAGCGGTCCCCAAAACAGAACGTCCCTACTCTGTGCTTAGACGTGCACATTGTGCTACGTCCGGAGAGGGCGGACCCCAAAGGGCAGAGAGAGCACGTTACCATTGTCATCCTCGTTATGCATGTGTGCTACATCCAGAGGAGAAAGAACTAAGTTGAGAGTAGGAATGGCCAGAACCGCATATCCAGACGAGGGCCGGCTATGCCGTTCGCCACCTACAGGGGCATAGTCAAGATGGGTGCAACATTGTGCATAAAAGGATCGACATGCAAAAAGGTCCATATCTCCTAAATGTCGCATCTTCTGGCTATATATATATATATATACTGCAAACACATATAAAAGGAATCCATGTTTAAAATGGAATGAGGCAAAAATGGGATTCTTTGTTAAACTAATTTGCATATGCCCACCCAGAATCCTTTGCGGTTGTAACATCACTGCAGATTTGGGATTTCTGTGGGAAAAGCAAGTCTTATGGCTTGACTGGTGTGCAGATTTTTGTTTAACATTGTATTAACTATCCACAGACTTCAGGTGGAAGGGGTTTTCAATCACTATTTTTCCCCCACCATAACCTATTTGGATTTTGCTTCCCAAGCACTACTAAGCCTCAATAAGCAAACCAGTAACCAACCTCTTGTTGATGAGTTGCATTAACAACAAAACAGCTGTCTATGAGTGGTTCACTGGTTTTGCATCTTTTCCTAAATTGTGTTCCAAGCAGTTGTATACTGCAAACACATATTAAAAGAAATCCATGTTTAAAATGGAATGAGGCAAACATGTGATTCTTTGTTAAACTAATTTGCATATGCCCACCCAGAATCCTTTGCGGTTGTAACATCATTGCAGATTTGGGATTTCTGTGGGGAAAGCAAGTCTTATGGCTTGACTGGTGTGCAGATTTTTGTTTAACATTGTATTGACTAAATATATATATATATATATATATATATATATATATATATATATATATATATATTGGAGGCAGAACAAGCACAAAGGGGATAGAAGATCATATATGTAAATTTCTTGAATTAATTACCCAAGGAGAGGTTTATGCTTTTAAGTCAAGCTGTAGATGGATACAGTTCAACTTTTTACTCTTTTCTTCCCTGTAGCCCTCAGACTCAATTGGTTAATCACTTCACGCTGAACTATTTCTGTCCTTTAAATTAGCACTTAATAAAAGATAAGCTTTTTCTTAGCCTTTCTCATTACTATTCTATTTCTGTGGTGCTCCCTTATCACTACTCTCCCCTACTGGGGAGATTATTGGGATTTTTTATTCGTTAACTAACTAATAAAGTTAACTAACTTTAGTGTTACCCCCTGTTAGGGAGCTCAACAGTGACTTCTCAGGCGGCGGGTCTCAGTGTTATCCCCTCCTACCCCTATTTTTGAGGGTCGGGATGAGCATTTGGTCCCCTCCCCTAATGGGAGTAGGCTTTCAACTCAGAACACAGAAGGTGGGCATCTTTTGTTATATAATTTTGCTAGGCTGTATCCACAGTGTAAGTCATTGAAATAGATTTTTTTCAGCCATATTTTAGAATGATTTAACATGTGCAAAAGAAAAGGTAATTTGCCAAAAATGTAATCGCTGGGTGTTTTTTCATAATATTATTTTAATATAATAGGAAAAATGGATCATATATTATATTAAGAAAAAGGGATCAAGGGAGAAAAATCTAGTCTTTGCTGTCACAGGCCAGTAATATAGGCATTTTGTTTCTTTAAAGAAACTTAATTTATTTGGTAAAATGTGTCGATGCTTGACTGACTTGTCTGGGACTACACACTCTGTACATGATGAAGTCATGTTGTTTTTTATGTTGGACTGTCGCAGATTGTTGGTGTTGTTGAAGGAAGCCTGAATGAGTTTGTGGGAATAACTTGATCTCACTGTTTATACAGTATTGCAATATATTTTATTTTCATTTTCAGAGTTTATCTGCTTGCATAAGACAGGATCCTGATTTTGTTTCAAGTCTAAACAATGAGGATCTTTATACTGTAATTGTTCTATGTAAAACTGTGGATGATCATGTACCTGATAGGTATCCCTTTAACATAAGATCTGTTAGAACACGAGCAGTGATAACAGCATGTATATGTATGTCTGTGACATTTTAAAGCTGTCTTTATTGTTAAATATTGTCACTCATTGTTCAGAGGTTGGGAAGATCCTTGATATTTTTACTTGAAGGCAGTGGAGGGTTGATGTAGCTGTGGAAACAAGAGAAGAATAGGGCTCTAGCTGTACAGGGGGTATTGTGATACAGGACTGAGGTAGTGAATGTGGCTTTAAGGAGATAGGAAATATGGGGGGTAGAGTGTAAAGGCTAATATGACAATGAGTCTCTGGGGCAGAGTATGTGGTTAAATCTGCCAATGACAATTAGCAAAAACATAGTAGGGATGCTGACAGACAAAGATAGTTGTCTTTATTTAATTCAAGGATTTGTATGAATTTGTGGGACTACATAGGTATCATACAAGTTAAGAAGAAGGAGGTGTTCTATAAGTGGTCCATTATACAAGGACATATTATTGTCCACCACCTAATTAGTGTAATTGTCCAAACCACACCCACCACCCTAATAATAAAAGAGGGGCATTAAAAATAATACCTGTGAAAACAAATCATACTTACCATCAAAAGTTCAGCTAAATCATATTATCTTCAACCTAAATCATTTGTGATTTGTCAGGTAGACAAAGGAACAGGTAGAGCCAGAAATGAGCAATAAATGTATAAAACAAGATATGAAGTCCAAACGTTAGCTAAAGATATAGTAACAATATTACTATTTCTATTTACCATATTACTATTTACACCACTAGCATTCCTGTCTTTTATACACCATATATATTTCTATGTATTTTACAAAATAGCTGATCGTTATTATGATCAGCCTTAAAGGGACACTCCAGGCACCCAGATCACTTCTGCCCATTGGAGTGGTCTGGGTGCCAACTCCCACTACCCTCAACCCTACAAATGTTATTATTGCAGTTTTTCATAAACTGCAATAATTACCTTGCAGGGTTAACTCCACCTCTAGTGGCTGTCTACTAGACAGCCACTAAAGAGCACTTCCTGGATTATAGCACAGAAAACCCGTGCTAGAGCGTCGCTGGACGTCCTCACGCTGTGTGAGGACCTCCAGCATCGCTCAATTCCCCATAGGAAAGCATTGAAAAAGCATTTTCAATGCTTTCTTATGGAGAGCTCTAATGCGCATGCACGGCATTGCCGGCATTGCTGCGCAAGCGCATTAGGTCCCCCAGCCGGTGGGCTGGATCAGTCTCGCCTGCCAGCCAACGTAATGAAGAGGAGCGGCAGCGAAGGAAGAAGCAGCGACATGGGACATGTTGCTGCCTCTGGTAAGTGACTGAAGGGGTTTTCACCCCTTCAGCAACCAGGGATTGGGAGGTGGGAGGGAGAGGGGACCTGCAGTGCCAGGAAAACAGATTGTTTTCCTGGCATTGGAGAGTCCCTTTAACCACATTTCCAAAGGTTCTTTGCCAGTTCCCCTTGGGCCTATTAAACCATGCCCCCTTTTTTCTGATTTCGCATTTACACTTTTAATTCCTATTATTAGACTTCCCCAGTCTCTCTACCCACACTGTATTACCATTTTGAGCGGAATTAACACTTTTTATAAGGTCCTAACTGAATTCTCTAACAGTAACACACACATACTACATTTCCCAGTGTGCATTGCGGCTGATACATCATGGCCACTAAGCCACACCCTCTTGATTCCATTTTTATTTCTCTCTTCTTCTGATTTTACAAATATACTTTTATATCCCAAATGCTTTATTTCATTGCATGTTAGTATTATGTTAACTCATTATAGCTTTGTGACCACACACATGATCATGACATCATTTTGGCGCCAAAATTCTAATTTGTATTACTCATAACCCTATATAAGTATATTGCTGCCAGGTATGTGTCTGATCCACTTGAAAAAGCCCCAAAAAAGGGAAACGCATTGTGGTTTTATATTATCTTTTGTTAATAAAGTATTTCTGGCTACCTTACCATTTGTAGAAAGCCACATACTTTTTTAACCTTAATAAATACATTTTACTCATCACCTGGCACCTTACTTCTCTACTGAAACATACCAATAATCTTTTGTGGGGATTATACCATCCATGCCTAACTCATTGAGTGGTTAGACTGCTCCACCAAGAGTAAGTACACTCTTATTACTGTGTGTATACCTACCTCAATTGAATGCACTTTTGGCCATTCTTTATTTTTTTATATTCCACCATATCATCTTCCTGCTACCAACTACTACCTGCAAATATCCTGCAAGTGGGGATACAATACCACTGCATGCTGTTTCTCCTAGAGCTGGTTATAGCTCTATCAAATGTGAGTTGGCATTTTTATACATTTTATAAGCACTCACTTTATCCTTTATCAAAATTGCACTATTGGTCTCTCTGTTTTATGTTTTCTCATATGCTGCTACTGAAAGGAAATGCCCCCCAAGCATTTTAAGAATATTTGAAGATGAATACCTTTCATCCAAAGACTGTATTTTATTTACTGGTATTTTTATTTTTACTTTATCATAGATTCTTTGTTACTGTATTTTCAGATAACTTTTGGACTTCATATCTTGTTTTATACATTTATTGCTCATTTTTGGTGCTACCTGTTCCTTTGTCTACCTGTCTAGTTCTCCTTTAGGGTTAGAGGGAATCCCCTATCTCAGGTGTGTTGCCTCATATATATTATTTTGTTTAGTTGTTTTGCGCTGTTCTTACCTTGTGTTTGTTTTGCATTTGTGATTTGTGCATACAAATATACCTCTGTCAATTTTTTTCACTAGATGCACTTAGCTTTGGGTTTTGTTAATATTGGTACCTTGTGAATCTTCTGAAAGCTCTTCTTTGTGTAGGATTTAGATGTTAAAGCACTGATTTTAATCCAGACACTATGAGACATTGGCTATTGAAAGGCAAACTGTAACTGGACAGTACTAATCTGAATTGAACAATACAACAATAACACATAGATGTTCTACATGGATTGAACTGATGACTAGAACAGGGATCTCAAACTCTGCCCTAATCCTTGCCCCCAACATACCGATGACCTACAAATCCTATCAATAAATGGTAAGAGAATCATGACATTTTTAGTTCAGCAACATCTTGTGGGGTGAAGAGTGAGATGACTGGACTAGAGATTCTTATTAAAAAAAAGCTGAGAAAATTTAGTGTACTATATAGAATACATTTAAAAAAGACTCCCATAGTAACTATGTAACAAACAATTCTATAGAAGAAGGCCATTAGGAGAGAAAATAGGGCCAGAGGGGTTTGGATCAAAATAGAGACTGTCCCTCCTAAATAGGGACAGTTGGGAGGTATGTTGCATGCCCCTTAAATCATTACATCCATGAAATTTCCATCCATATATTTAAATGTTTAAAGATTAGTAATGCAGATTTTGATACTTCCAGAGAACTTGAAGTGAAGTTGTTCTATGAGCAAAAATGGTCTTTTGTTTTGCATTGCAATATAATTAACCAGAAGACCTTCAGAAGATCAATTCACCTGATTGCTTTGAAATGGCTCCTCAGTTTACAACATATGAAATCCATTTGCCTTTGTCTGCAAGAAATCCTTTTCCTTAATGGATTGCTAACAAATGAAATGTACATACATATTAGATGCATTTTAATGATATTTATGAGCAGATTAAATAGTTTTCAAATAGCAAGATCATCATTTACTTTCCTTAGCACACACAGATAAAAAAAAAATACAGTGCTCGTCAATTTTGAGCTAGAATCTTAATATGCATACAGTAATTTTATTTTACATTTTATTGAGGTTTATAGCTGTGCATATAGTAAATGTTTCAGCAGTAATCACAGTGCACATGCATGCAGGACAACTAGAAGACAAGACTGCAATAATGACAGAATATCCAAAGCAGCACCTGAAAAAACGAATAATGTGAAACATTAATTTTCTAGGGCAGCGATGACAAACCTTTTGAGCCCAAGTGCCCAAACTGCAACATGAAACTAGGTTATTTATTTCAAATTGCAAACACTTCAATAAAACCTGAAACATTGCAGAAAAAAAACATAACTATCTGAACTTATTGAGTGTTTTTTATTTCTCAGAAGGAAAATACAATACAAATCAACAGGTTTTTTTATTGAAAAAAGTGCCTATCAACTCTAGTAAAAAATAAAAATGCATTATAGTAAAAACATAAGGTGTCTAAGGGAATTAAAATGTAGTCTAATATAGCTGAAGTAAGAAAAAAACAAAAAAAACATTCAAAGGTAGCTTCTTATACAGCTTAGCCATTCACAATTCCCTGGCTAATTCATCACAATTAACATTTAAGTGGAAAAAAAACCCTATAAATCTGCTACTTTTATTGTGCAGAGCGGCTGACATGAGTTAAATAAAACACACACACGCACTCTATCTCTCATAAAAACATTTTTTATTTCATTTTTTTTATACACCACCCAGCCTCCCTTTTCGTCCCATGAAAGGGAGCTGGAGTGGAACGTCATCCCTGTGGGTCCTGTGGTTTACTTCTAGGATCTCTCTTTACTGTTTGCCCAGCTCCCTTTAGTCTGTACTGAACATGGGTGAAGTTACATCCTGGCTCCATGCAAAGGAGCTTGACAGAGATCCCAGCAGCCTCCTCGTCACCCACTCTGAAGCCAATTTGTACAGCACCATAGCAGGCACTTGCTTCACAGCACCCGCACCAGTAGGCAGGTGTCTGCCCTGGGAATAGGTAGTATGTATAACTCCCAATCCCCCCTGCCTGGCACGTTACTAGCACCAGTAGCTACAATGTGGCAAATTCATGGCTCAATTTCCAACAGAGAGACCGCTACATACCTGCTGTGGCATACATGCAATAGATTTGCCACTGCAACATGTATAATATTAGTAGTGAAAGATAACAAATAAAAGGAAAAGAAGCAGAATCAAATAAAAAAGAAATTAAAATTAAAACATAGTTGTGAACTAAACCATGAACATAGCATAAGGAGAAACACACCTGGGTGGCATCTCAACATATAACAGTGCTCAACCCCTAGGGACTACTTAGCGGGGGGATATTGGACAAGAGGGGGTCCAGAGAAACCCATATGTATATAAGCTAGTACAACCATACTTAGTCAATAAATTCCAAGGGATGGGTTTAGGGTTTGGGAGAGAGTCAAGTAGGAATCCATAGAGCTCCATGTCTTGCTGTTATTAATCCCATCAATCAAGCTCATTAAGGAAGAGGGATTCTGTGTTTTACAGGCTCTGACTACACAAAACTGGGCCATTGTAAGGATGTGGAGAAACACTTTATGTGTGTCTTGCAGAATATTTTGAGGAGAAATTAGTAGTAGAACGTATTCCAGGGATCCAGGAACATGAGTGTTTCCCACTGTCTGTAACAACATGTGCTTGAGATCAATACTGTTGCATGAATGGACAAAATCACCACACATGATAGAAAGAACCATGTGTGTTGCTACACTTCTAACAATTCAAAGAAGTAGGATGTATGACATGCAGTTGACAGGGCAGAATATACTGGCATGAAAATAGTTTGTAATGCATTTCGACATGGTTTGTACACTTCATGATTTTGTGAAGAAAAGTAAATGTTTTCCACTAAACCTATATCAGAAATTGGTGACCAAAATATTGGATTTAGCCAACAGAGATCATGAATTTCATTAGCCTCAGGTCTGTAAAGAGGCAAAACATATTTAGTTAAAATCCCTGCAATACTTGAGGATAAAAATATGTCCCTCTAGTGACAGGCAAGTATCAGAGGACCATATAAAGTATCAACACGATTGAAAATGAGCCCTTAGTGCTCCATTCCTTTAAAAAAACACAATAACAAAGGAATGCACTAAAAGTAAAATAATAATAATTAAACTCTACCGGCAATATAAAATTGATACACTTTAAACATTTTTTTAATCTTTAAAGAGGAAGTGTCTCTTCAGCAATTTTACCTCATCCCCATAGCTAACTAAAATCTAGCTATTTAAAAAAAAAAATACCTGTAGTAAGTGTCGTTTCTTTTATTAGCATTTACGTGCTTTGCTGTGTAAATCATGCAAATGAGTTAACTCTCGCAGTGCTATATGCACAGCACATGCATTTCTAAGGAACTGCTGGAGTAAATGCCAAATGGGCATGAAGTATCAATATATGACATGTAGTCACCTCCTCCCAGCACCATGGCTTAATACTGAACAGGGGGACCAATCACATTGTTAAAAGGCTGCAGTGCCTGCCCAGGGCCTTGATCAAAGATGCTCATCGGATGGCCCTGTGCTTCAGCTTGCAGGCCCAGTGCAGTCTTACCGGCTGCACCAGCAGTTGTTCCTCCACTGAATGGGCCACATGCAGATAACAGTGCTGAGGGAGATGCTTTAGTTGCTATTTTTCATTCTGACATTTTTTCAAATGAGCCAAGAAGAGGAAACTTCAATAAAAAATTTTTTTTATCAATGTCCAAACTATCAGGAACACACATCAAGTGTTGCCTAAAGAAATCACAACCTTCTGTTTCAGAATGTAAAGTTCACCAGCAAATGTAATCAGGTGTTGTAATGTTACAAATAAGTATTCATAACTCTGCTGAGATATATGTGTTCAGATTCTCTCTATAACATTGTCTTAAGGGAATACATTACCCTTGCTTATCAGAGTATAATCACTAGCTGAAAGAACTGTATAAGGTTCCTGTAAAAGTGAGCTCATTTGAAAGTGAAGGTTACGTTTTTCCTTTGGATTTTCTCAGTGTCTTTCTCTCTGTAATCATCAACCATTCCAAAATGTACCTGGGGATACATGTTTTATGTCCTCCCCCTTTCACAAAGCCAGCTGCTGCTATGTGTGCTGAGTGACTGTAGGCTGCAACAATTAAGTTAATTTATTGTGGGATAAAATTGTTGTTCCATGCGCTTTCGGTAAAGTGAGAGATATTGATAGAGTAAGTGTTGAGTAATGTGTTCTCTAAGCATGTGCTTTATTTGAAAGAACAGAACTTAAGTGAAGCATTGTGGCAATAAGACAAAACAAACAAAACAAACATAAAAAACAAAACACAAAACTTTCTAATTTATTTTTTGGCTAAGTCAGAGTCAAAAGCACTAGCAAAATCAGGGCAATCATTTTGAATCTCCAACATGGCAACCTCTTGATGGCTATATGCCCCTCCGCTTTAACATCTTTCAGTAAATTATTCTGTAAATTGTTAATTGCATGGACTTAAACTAAATATATTGTCCAGAAACAGGACAAAAATGTTGGTGATATCATGAAGATAAATGTTTTAGCTCAACCCAAGGTTTTTCTTACTATACATCGCTTATGCATATGCTGAAAACATGTTATATGTGTGTGCATGTTGATACATAAATCAAAGAATTTATTATTGGACTTTTTTCAATGGGTGAGTCCTATCTATTATGTCATGAATGATTGTGTTGCCAACTACCTTCCCTAAGGAAGAATAGCTTAAAATAATCTTGACACATAAATGCTACACACTCGCAACTTAGATCCAAAAAATGTCATATGAAATATTTATGAGGTGGTAACAGTCACCTCAGATCCTGATGATTCCTGTCCCGTCATCACTGGTCTTTGCCATAGCAGAGATAGTAGATACTTATTCATAGCTCCTTGCCATGTCATCCCAATGAGGATACACTAAAGGCTTCTTTTGGGTGGACCAGGTTTTCATTTCTCTTTTGCCCATTAGATGGTTTGGTAGCCCTATTTTAAAAACCTTCTGAGATAGTTGCTCAAAATATTCACCTTACGGAGGCGGGGCCTGAACTCTGAAATGAGTGGTCGCATCAGCCTGCAGCTCCGAGGCTATAACGGCAAAAACGACTAATAATTTATACACTCACCCATCATCTCGGCCTTGGGGTTCCCCTGAAAGCACTATACCACATGGGATGCAAATCTAAGAAATCGGTACCAGGAAAGCCCACTTTGTGTCTGACTATCGGCGACCCGTGGAAGCAAGCACGCGGCTTGCCATGGTGGCTGCTCTGACTTTTCAGACGAATTTTCAGGCGATGCAGAGGAAGAATTCCTACCTACTGAGACTCCAGTGCCGTTGACAAGACCAAACAAGGCAGGCTCAGACTCTTCACCGGTAACCACCTCGGTTTTAAAAACGCTACTGGTGGATTTCCAAAAGAACAACTTGGCTGATGTCACTGCACTCCGAGGAGACCTACAGGGCCTGACAGGCCGATTCGAAGCACTAGAGGGAGCCTCCCAAGCAAACACCCAGAACATAGCTCAGCTTCAAAAGGCCATACAAGATATGCAACAGCAGCACTTGATGCATGAACGCCGCTTCGCGGCTCAAGAAGACACCTGGCGGACAAATAATCTGAAGATCAGAGGGATCCCGGAGGAAATCCTAGAGGTGGAATTGTCACATTTCACAAGATGCTTGTTCACAACCTTACTAGCATCTAGGCAGGCCAAAGCAATTACTCCAGAAGACCTCTTCCATGCCAAACCTGCTAAGGCACCAGCTACGGCTAACAAGGGACATTATTGTCATCTTCCAAAGTGGGAAAGATAATGCTGCAATACTCACAGGCTTATGAGGTAAAACGCCTTTCCAATTCAAGAATATGATGCTTATATTCTTCGCCGACTTATCGCGTGGCATGACATAGGTCGCTTCGACCACTCACCCTCCTGCTTCAACTACAGAATATCAGATACAGCTGGCACCTCTCCCAAATACTAATTATCCAACATGGGACTGACACACACCATATCCATGACCTTAAGGACGCTGCAGCATTGAAGCGGGCTCTGGACCTACCGCAGGACTCACTTACTCAGGAGGTGCCGCATAGTATAACTCCTTTAACCCACACCTGGGATCCAGCATTAATCTCCCTGTTTGCCCTGCATGGAGCAACACCGAACCCCTACGCAGAGGTTACAACTTGAGCTGAGACTTTTGACACTGTTTCCTGTTAATTTCACATTTAATTGTTATCATGTTTTATTCCATAAGATGGGCAACCTTAATGAGACCCCATGCCCTATTCTAGATGCATTTGTCGCACCAGACAACCTCACGAAGACCACTAGTTCTACCTGTCCACCCCACCGCCCCCATCGAGACGTGCCTCAGCAGCCGGCCATCTGCTCCGGAATAAATCCTGCCTGGGAGGTGCAGCAGCCATGCCACTACAAGGAATCGGCTGATCTTGATACTGGGACTGCTACCTGAGTATACTCAACCCTTGCTAACAGGACAAGTTATTCTATGAATATTCAATGCCATACAAAAGCTGATTTTTTTTTTTCTTGTGACTTCTCTTTCTGGCTAATAGTTCTATTATCCCCACCAATGTAAGATCTGCTATTCATTTGGTACACTGCTGTAGTGAGACACCCCCCAGAGGTAAAACACCAGTGACCCCAACCAGCATAAGGTCTAACATTTAGAAAAATGCACCATACTTACCATGCCAGGTGCATACCATTACCTTACCTGTCCTACCTACAAACAAGTAAATGTGCATATATTAGCACTCAATAAAGCTGTATAGTCTAACTAAGTGCTTAAGCACCACAGTCTCGCACTTGACATGTTCTGACAAGGTAGTACAACCTGGAAATTTTATATTTTCTCTCTCATACTCCACCTGTAAACTCACCTGTCTAGTTATTACAAAAACTGTGCAGGCTTCTTTAAAAGCTTTACAGCATTTAACCCTTGAATCTTGAATAGCCTGGCACCTGTGGTTGGGACACGACGAGCCTGTTTGTTTTCCCAATCATTATATACTCACTAACTAATGCACACAGCCTCTTTATATTACGCAATACTTTTCTTCTCAATCTGAGCTGTGTCTATGTTATATCATCTTTATGTTTAACTGTGTTTAAAAAACAAAGAAAAAAAAACCTGTGCCAAAAATCATGTAAATCTACTCTGCGCTGATATGTCTACTTCACCGCAATTTTTATCATGATACTGTCTTATATATGTCACCTCTGTGCACAACAAAGATAAAGAATTGAAAAACAAAAAACAAAAAAACATTTCATGCTGACCGCAGTTTAGCTCAGCTCCCAAAACACATATCAAATGGTTTATAACCAGTACCGACATCCTTTCCCCACCACACCCCTCCCCCTGCTCTAAGCCTTGGCTGGATGACATAAATAGTGTTATAATAGTCAGGCGGTAAATTCCTACCCTCTATCACACCAGTCGGAATAGTTACTTGTGCTTAACATACTAAAAAGTGATGTCTCACTTACTCAGAATACTGCACGTCTGGCTCTGTCTATTAACCTTATTATTCATGTAGACATACTTTGTTTTATAAGTAACTCCTTCTTGTTTAAAAAAAAAAAAAAAAAATATGTGCTGTTTCATTGCTTACAAACTGTGACACTCTAAGGTTGACCATGTATTGATGTATGTCTGATATGTTGTTATTGTGCCTACTCAGCACATCAAAAATAAAGAATTAAAAAAAAATACTCACCTTCCTCATTTGCAACTCCATTTATTTCTTATCTACTTGTTTTTGTCTTTTCCTAGTTTTCCTCTTCATTTCATGTCTTTCTTTACTCTCTTCTTGTAGGGACATGTATCACTTAACAATAATTTTTTTTATACCAGCAAGCAAACACTTTTAAACAAATATAGAAACCAAAATAAAGCATGAAGAACTTTCAAACGTATGTGGTAAACATTTATAAACTTACTATATACTTGGTCAGATTGCATTGTTGGGCACACCTCTTAACTAGTGGAGTTTCTTCACTCTGGGTAGTTAATTGTGCAAATCAGGGCAATCTACAGAAAATCTGTGAGTGAGCTTGAGTTCCCTTGGCTTGGCTCAGGATTCTAATTGTCTGCGTTAGCTACAAGATAAAAGTATTCATAATAATGTGTTGGGATTGAGCATTCTAATGGAATGTGTGCATACATTTGATAAGGAAGTATTTTTTTCTGTTTGAGTGAGTGCGGCTAAAGAGGCATGCTTATGGTGCAGTATTCTGCAAAATAAATTTGTGGTCTGGGACAAAAAGCCATACTCGACCCTAACTACCTAAGCAAAGACAGTTAAAGTGTGTTGGAACTGACGGTCGGTTCAGGCCTGTAAATAAAGGTTGGTTTAGACCTGTAAATAAATAAAGCCAACCTGAAGAATGATATTATAACTTGTAACGGTGAGGAGGGTGGGGCTTCATACAAATGTATTGAGGTAAGAGCTGTGGGTGTTTTTAAAGGCAGACTAAGCACTTACACAACTAAAGCTTAATGGCCTGAACATTTGTGGATCGGGACAAAAATCCATACTTGACCCTAAGGCAAAATTGGTTAAAATGTGGTAGAACTGACAGTTGGATTAGGCCTGTAAATAAATATGCATATACACACCCACGAATATAGACACATGTGCATGCAACCCCAATTAGCAAACCAACTACCCAATGAGTAGCATTTCTGTTCCACATATGAATGACTTTGCCCACCATTTTATATGTTGTTACTACCATTTTGCTGTGACCTAGGGATTTCATAGTATTGCTAGAAGTACAAAACTCGAAGATACCACCACAAAATGGCTGGGGTAAAGTAAAAACTTGACTAAAACAAAGCTAACAGTAATAATTCTACAGTGAGCATGTCTGAAAGGGGAAGCATACATTTTTCCAGATTATTATTAAGTGACCTTAGTGTTTAAGTGAAGCCCATAACCATGTACCAGTATTGGTTAGTGGTTGAACACTGTGATAGGGAAAGTTTAATAACATAGCTGGCTTGATGAGTTGTCTCTGTGAGAGGAAGTTTTAATTAAAAGGGTGTGTGAACGCTGAAAGTCCTCTCAGTAACAAATAGCATATTCCTCTGTGCAAGAGGAAGCTCAGCAAAGAATACCAATTTTTTTTTAGCATTTGACTTCTTGTGATAGAAGAAGCTTAGTAACTATTATCACATTCCTGAGTGTGTTACCTCAGTGATAGAAGCACAGGTCATATACTCATTCAAATAGATAGATTTGAATGAGCATATGTCCCCCGTAATAGGGGAGCTCATCAACAAATCCCAATCGCTGAGCATGTGACCAATGTGATAGAGCTCGAAAACAAATTAACAAAGTGATGACCGCAAGAACTCTAAAATATGGTAGCAGTGAATACTAACTTTATAAGTACATAGCCTCCACTTGGGGGAGCTTAGTAACAACTAATTAGTTAATTAGGGGAGTGGACCCTTAATTTCCACCTGTGTGGGTTTTGAGCTTGCTCACTTGGAGTTGCTTAAAGATAGTATCTTTTAAGTAGGCTATTTTTAAGTAGACGTTGAAACACAGGAGTTTAAGCCAGCAAGGTAAATATTGTTTTATTTTCTGTACTTTCTGCTTTTGATAACTGTGAAAATGGGTATTAGCAAGATTGAAACTTTAACTTCGGTTCCTGAAATTCTACAAGAGGAGGGGAAGGGAGGTCCTGTTTAGCTCCCAACTTCATCGGGGGAGGCATTTTACACGCAATTAGTATCTCTACATTCAGTGAGTGTGCAATCTCAGCGTGTCATACCTTTCTGTATTAAAGGATAGTACACTATTGTGTTTGTTTTTTAAATTTCATTTTAGGTACACAGCTGTATCCCAAACTTCGTTACCAATTTAAACACGTATGCATGCTTGGATGAATCAACCCAGGGTTCATACCTCTGTGGCAGGTGTGAGCAAGTGGCTTCTCTAGAAACTCAGAAACAAATAGCCACATTGAGAGAGATTGACAATCTTGAAAGGAGTCTGCTGCTCCCTGAGCAGAGTTTAATGGGGGGTCTCTAGTGAAGTGCGAGGAGATAAGACAGCTGGGGAACAGGCAGTTAGTTTGGTAACAGCATCACGTGGTAGCAGGTGGGAAGAGGAAAGGGTTATGCTGGTTATGCTAGTTGCTATAGCAACGGAACAGATTTGCCCATCAGGAGTAGCTTACTGGAGGAAGCTGCTCTTTCTAACAGTTGAAGGATAAGCTCCTCTAGTACGGGTGGGGTTGAGAATGCAAGAAAGGCTAGACAGGTTGTGGTGATAGGTTGTGGACTCTATTATTAAGAGACTAGATAGGGCAATCTGTTGCTCTGATCATCTCAACTGGAGAATAGAGTCCTAAAGAATGAATTCAGGAAATTATGAAGTAAACTGAAGAAAAGACCTCCACGGTTGGATTTTCAGAAATATTACCTGTGCACTAGAGTAGAAAGATTAGGAAGATTAATGTGTGGCTAAAGTCATGGTGTACTTAGGTTGGTTTTTAGAGCACTGGGCTGATTTTGCACATGGGTACACACCTCTGTCAATTACCACTAACCGTCTTTGAAATATTAGATGGTAAAAAGATGAAAATGCCACCAACAAATTAAAATAAGGTTGGAAAAGGCAGGGATACCGTCAACTAATGTAATTTGCTTGCAACATGTGGATTGAGATAATTAAAAAGGTGGTCAGCCTGAAATGAATATGATTGGTTCACTCTAAACCTCATCAGACCCAAGGGGAGGTTCTATATGAAATTTAAAAAGGTGAGATTCCTAGGACTGACTCACAGCTGACTGAAAAAGCTCAGAAGGGAGTGAAACACATTTTGGCAGACACAGGATCTCTTTATACAAGTGTACACAGTATTTTATGATTTTATTTTACTGTTTGTTATTCTTTTTTTGTAAATACATGTATTAGTATTTTTAAGGGTCCTCTGAAACCTCAGGAATCATCATTTGGGGAAATGCCAACCCCTCACAGTGGCACTATACCTGTATACCTTAGAGCCAGGTGTTTAGGCTCTAAATAAGGTGAGCTCAATACCTATCTTACACTTTTATTGGTTTTACATTGAAAATACTACACCTTGGTGGCCTCTCTCTCTTTTATTTTACCAGATGGAACACCTCTATGCAGGAGTAATGTGATGCTGTCCTAAGAGCATTACATAATTGCATAATCTGTTTATATATGAAGCCAATATATATATGCTCCATTACATGTGAGTGTTCTGACCTTCTAAAGATATATTATTTTTCCCCTGCGGCCACAAGCACACCCAGCTGTCTACCCTGCACGACCCCTGGCCGGTCACCCACAGGTATCAATAATGTGTGTCAGTTTGTCAGTGTGAGTGTATGTGTGTGTGTGTGTGTCTGTCTGTCATGGTGTGTGTGTGTGTGTCTGTCGGTCTATGTCATGGTGTGTGTGTCTGTCATGGTATGTGTCTGTCTGTGTCATGGTGTGTGTGACTGTCATGGTGTGTGTGTGTCTGTCTGTCATGGTGTGTGTGTGTCTGTCTGTCATGGTGTGTGTGTCTGTCTGTTTCATGGTGTGTGTGTCTGTCTGTGTCATGGTGTGTGTGTGTCTGTCTGTGTCATGGTGTGTGTCTGTGTCTGTGTCATGGTGTGTGTGTGTCTGTCATGGTGTGTGTGTGTCTGTCATGGTGTGTGGCTCTCTCTCTGTCTCATGGTGTGAGTGTGTGTGTGTCTGTCTCACAGTGTGTGTGTGTGTGTCTGTCTGTGTCATGGTGTGTATGTGTCTGTCAAGGTGTCTGTGTGTCTGTAAGGGTGTGTGTGTGTCTGTCAAGGTGTGTGTGTGTCTGTCATGGTATATGTGTGTCTGTCATGGTGTATGTGTGTGACTATGTGTGTTTAAAAATAGTGTTTTTACTCACCTTTTTTTCCCCCATGCCATGCTGGTCTCCCCTCGACTGGCACTGCCTCTATGGCTGAGATCATCAAGCTTGATGATCTCAGCCAATCCAATGCTTTGCCATAGGATTGGCTGCAAAACGCTACCCCAATCAGCATCTCCTCATAGAGATGCATTAAATCAATGTATCTCTATGGGGAACGTTCATCGCCTCCAGAATTTGGAGGCCCCGAATGTAGGTGCAGCACTGTAGGTACAGCACTGACACAGGAAGCACCTCTAGTGACCGTCTGAGTGACTGTCACTAGAGGTGTCACTAGGAAGCAATGTAAACACTGCCTGTACTCTGAAAAGTCAGTGTTTACATTTAAAAGCCTGCAGGGACAGGATATAGACACCAGAACCACTACATTAAGCTGTGTGTGTGTGTCCGCCTGCTAGTGAGTGAGCTTGCTTGCATGTGTGAGTGCCTGCTAGTGAGTGAGCTTGCTTGCATGTGTGTGTGTTTGTGTACCTGCTAGTGAGTGAGCTTGTGTTTTTATGTCAATGACCTTATGTATATCAGTGAGATTGTTTGTCTATGTGACTGTGTATCAATGAGCTTGTGTGTGTCTGTGAGATTGTCTGTGTCTGCATGTGAGTATGCTTACTGTATAATTAAACATTTTACTCTCAAAGGACCAATATTTTATATTAGAAAAAGCAATATATATATTTGATATTTTCCTGGCACTATAGCTTCCCCCCTTGTCATATATATCAATCATCTGGGGTGGCAAGACATAGCCTTACATATTACATGCAACAATATATGGTACAATGACTTATGGGGCTGGCATAGATTATTTTCCAGGGCTGCTTTGTATCCCCAGACCGGCTCTGCTGTCTGGTAGACTGCCTTGACAAGGGGGGAAGCTATAGTGCCAGGAAAATGAGTTTGTTTTCCTGGCACTATAGTTTCTCTTTAATGACAGAGAGTTGTCATTAATGGTAAATATTCAAGCTAGACAGCTAGACAAAAGTGGTAGGTTCAGGGTTCTGTTCTGGGACCTCTACTTTTTAACATATTTATAAATTTGAAATAGTAATTGAAAGTCAGGTTTGGGTGTTTGCAGATGACACAAAACTCTGTAAAGTAATACAATGTGAACAGGATATTACTTTGCTGCAGAGGGATTTAGATAGATTGGGGGACTGTGCACTCAAATGGTAGATACAATTTACAGTGGAACCTCGGAACTCGAACTTAATTCATTCCAGAAGGCTGTTTGAGTTCCGATTTGTTCGAGAACCAAATCAACATTTCCTATAAGAAATAACGTAAATTTGATTAATCTGTTCCAGACCCCCCAAATTACATAATTTTAACACAAATTGCATAGTATAATAATGCCATACATGCATAAAAAACACATAGGAAAATAATAAACACAATGTACAGTAAATTAAATGAAAATGTAACTTCCCTTTACCTGTAATGATGAGAGTTGATGGCGTAAGTGGAAAAGGAGAAGAGATATTATTGTTTGAATGGGGATACATAACTGTTCTTCTGGCATTTAAAATGTGTCTAAAGTGTGTCTAATTGAACATGTTTGTGGCATGATTTGTTCAGGTACCGAAGATCATTTGTGTACCGAAACATTTTTTACTCAAACTTTTTGTTCGAATTTCGAATTGTTCGAGGGACCGTTCGAGTTCCGAGGTTCCACTGTATTGAGATAAAGAATTCACAAGCAACTTACACCCAAAATGGTTATGAATTAGGGATAACAACAGAAGGATTTGGGAGTGGTTATAGACAACAAGATAGGCTAGAATGCTCAATGTCAATCGGCAGATGCTAAGGACAGTAAGCTATTGTCATGTATAAATAGGGGCATTCATTTTCAGAATGAAAGTAATTTTTACTTTTTATAATTCATTGATAAGACCAAATTGAAATACTGTGCAATTTTGGGCACATGTTTTAAAGAAGACATTATGGCACTAGAAAAAGTGTGGAGACGTGCTACAGAATTAATAAAAGAAATGGAACATTTTAGTTATGAAGAAATGTTAACAAATTTAAATCTCTTTAGTTTAGAAAAATGGTGCCTTGGGGGGGCGGGAGGGCGGGGATAGCATTATGCAAATATAGTATAGTATTAGTATAAGGCAAAGAAAAGTTTTTGTTACAGAGAGAACAAAAATTATCAGATTTCTTTACAGATTTTTAAACAGCAATTGCATGAATACTTGCAAAAACATAAAATTCAGAGATATCATTTTCAATTTGTGGGATATTAGCTTCTTGATCTAAAGAGAAAACTGACTGCCAAATATATAAATAAATACACACATTTTGGGGTGAAGAATGAATTATTTCCTAGTTTGTTGCAAAATTGGAAGTGCTTCAATGTGGATTTTTTGCCCTCTTTTGGATAAACAGCATAAAACAGATGTGAGAAAGGATGAACTTGATGGACGCATGTCTCTTTTCAGCCGTGTAACTATATGTATACTATGTAACTATCCATTGCAAAAATAGGTGACCTGAGAGATAAGTGGTTCAGAAAAACAGTAATTTGATGGACGTGTACTTTGTGATAGAAGGAGCTCAAACACGGCATGACTGTGGACCCCAGACAACTGACCTCAGAGAAAGGTGGTACAGTAATTGTATAAGCACTGCCAATAGCAGAATCACAATAACGAAAAAACTGATTTTCAGACGCGTAACATCTGTGGTACAGCTCAACAACAATTATTAAATTGAATGAACACATGGCCTCTGGATTGGCTCAGTAGTGGATATTACATTTGATGAGCACCTGACTTTAGAGATAGAGGAAACTCAATAATAACTAACAATTGGGTGGCTCAGCAAAACACTAATTTGATGAGCATGTATCCTCAGTGACAATAATAAATACCAAATCTGAGTGCGTAACCTCTGACGTAGAGAAACCTTGGTAACAATTTGATGAGTACATTAACTCTGGAATATATGTTGCCCAGTAGCAGATACTAATCTGAAGGGTATGTGCCTCAGAGATAAAGGGAGCTTTATTATGTAACAAAACCAATTGCATGAGCGTGTACTTAGAAAGGAAGTTTAGTAAACACAAGTTTTATGAATGTATGTCCTCTGTGATTGAAGAATCTCAGACACAAACCAATTTGCTGAGCATGTCAATTTTTACAACAACTTAAATGAGTGCATTACTGCTGAGATTGGGGTACCTCACTAGCGAACTAAATTTTATAAGCACATACTACTGTGATAAGTGACACTAAATAAAAAGCACACAATTGGCAATCCCATGTCCTCTGTAAAGGGAAAAGCTTAACAACGGATCACTTTCCTGAGTGTGTGTGGCGGACCGCCACTACATCGCCGCCACAGACTCCTTTTCCCAGTGTGAAATAGCTTTACCAAGTTGTGAAAGTGCTTTTAGCTGGTATAGCTTTCCCCCATACATTAGTTGAGACCAAATGCTGGGAGCAGATCTGTTTATTTCAGGCAAGCACTCTCAATTTATACACAGACCCCCAACAGGGGGTCTCCATACAGAAATATAGCAAGATCCTGCCTGGCGTCCCTGTGTCTGAGAGATAAATGAGTCAGGAAACTATAACTCAATTATTGCTCAGTTACAGGGAAACATAAAAATATCATACAACACCCCAAAAGTACACCTAAAAAACATGGGAACCCCACAAAAGTCACATCTCCTGATAGCCCTGATCTGAGCGCCTCAGTTGGCCAAAAAGCACTCAGATCTGTTTGGTGGTATGGAATCGAGGTAAAATTTGTACCGGCCAGCCACGAGGTGGAATCCCAAAACAGTTCTAGGGAAATTGGGTGCAATGGCTGGTCTCTGTTCAGGGGTTCGTGTATGAAAACCACACAATATATTCATATGCTTCCAAGTAGAAAATGCTCCCCTTCAGTCGGTAGTTTCTATCTCCTGAATGCCGTTCATATATGGTCGGGAACTGGGGCGGTCAGCTGTTCCATCGTCACCGGTTTGCGCAACTGCCTACCTGAAAAGAGTTCCAGACACTCGACGACCATGTACTGCTGCTCGCGTTTCTGGAGACAAAATTCTGTAAACCACATGCATTCGGTTACACGAAATGGCGGCCACCCAGAGGAGCATTCATTATTTGTTTCCTTTGTGTATTCACACTTGTTAACAGGTGTTCCACATTCTATGGAGATGCTGGGGTGGTCCTTGTTCAGTAGCCGAACTAAGTTGGTTCGAACGAATATTTGAAAATGGAATAGTACCAGTGCAAGTGACGGGGTATTCCATCACAGTGTGTAACCTCTGTGATAGAGGGAACTCAATCACAAATACCAACTTAATGAGTGCATAATCTCTGAAGGAGTGGTTCAGTAATGAATACTCCATTGACCCCATTGTACAGCGCTACAGAATTTTCTGGCACAATATAAATAATAAAATAATAATAATAATAATAATAATAATAATAATAAGGAGCTTATGACTCTGTATCATAAAAAGTCCACCAACAAAATATCAATTTGCTGGGCTTGTATCCTTCGTGACAGAAAAAGCCCAACAATGAGCCAATTAATTGAGTCCATGACTGAGTTATCTCAGTACCGAATACTAACATTGATGAGCAACCAACCTCTACTATAGACGAAGTTCAGTAAAAAATACCAAAATTGAGAGAGTGTGTGACCTCTGATAAAGGTGCATACGCAATATTACCTAAAGAGCATGTGTCCTTTATGAAAGAGGATGCTAATAACCATTGCAAATTAGATCTGTGTAACCTCTGTGACAGATGAGACTCAATAATGATACTAATTAGCTGACCTGAAGAAATCCAATGAAACAGGAAGCCCAGTAATAAAACCACATTTAAAGAGCACTTGAGCTCTGGTAAAGAGTTGGCTCAATAGGGAATATTAATTTGATGTGTATATAACCTCTGCAACAGAGAGAGCTCTAAAACGAATATCAGTTTGATGAGTGCGTAACTCTGTGACAGTGAAAGGAGAAGATGTGCTTTCTCTACAACAACAGAGTGAGACTGCATCTCATAGGATATCATTTAATTCAAAGTTTTCTTATCTTAAGTATTTTATTAAATGCTCGCATCTCATGCTGATAGTACAACTGCAGAGGAAGAGACGCCTCCACAATGACATCACAGGAGGTAGAGTAGGGAGCAACACTGAGGGAGTCTTGGCACTTGAAAAATGGTAAGCAAAACCATTAAAAAAAAAAAATTATATGCTTAGGGGGTGGGGCTAATCTATTTAGGGACTATGGACAGTAGTATTAGGAATACAGGTCTGCATTCCTAACTCTATAGTGTTTCTTAATACTCAGTGTCTTACAGAGAAATGTTTATATGCATCTGTTGGATTAGCTATATAATATACAACTATTTGTGAATGTATGGCTAATAGACAATGACTAATGCTTTTGACACGGCGGTCCGTTTCAGCAAATTGAAGAATTCTGAATTTTACACTGGTTTTAACAATCAACAGTTTGCAATTATCTAATAAGTTTTCAGGTCCCACGAAACCTATAAGAAGTTACTGCATCTGTCCTTAAATACAAAAGGTGTTGTTCTGATGACATGTCTTGGAAGGTTTGAGCAGATCGGTTTCCAGTAGCATTAATGACACATCAATCCTTCATTTTATAAATATTCTTAATATATTAGGGAATGCATTACAGAGCATATCGTTGTATGAGTTGCATCAGAACTAATATTTTAAAATCTATATTCAAATGTTAAAAGAAAAAAATATTAAGTTACTTAAAATGATGTTATTTCGGTTCATTGCTCTCATTTAATATATTTTTATGTTCTAGAAATAATCTGTCAAAAAAACAACAAATAGCCACTAAGACACTATTATTTACCTTTTGAATACTTGTATTTAGAATACTAAAAAATTTTAGGAATTAGAAAAGAGCCCTTTTAGATATGTCTTAAGCAATTAATATTATATAACTATTCGCTAAATAATATATTTTTTTTAACTTAGATTGCATGAAATAGGAAATTCAAATAATTACAACCACTGGTATTGATAGACTTTTCAATATCTCGTAGACTTCTAATTAAGTTGTCACTTCATCCATGTGGACCAAGAATAGCTTACTACCGTCTCGGTGCACGGTGAGTCAATAATAAAGAGGCACTTTAGGCACTAAAACAACTTTAGCTTAATTAAGTAGTTTTTGTGTGTAGAATATGCCCCTCCAGTTTCACTGCTCACTTCTCTGCCTTTTAGATGTTAAATCACCTTTGTTTCTATCATGCAGTCATAGCCACACCTCCACTGGCTGTGACTCACACAGCCTGCATGAAAAAAATGGTTACATGTTCAATCAGATGTTGATGTGCTTTAGAAGTTTTTATAGCTAAATACAGAGACAGAGACAAAATTCAACATTAGACAGACTCTACAATAAAGTTTAAATATTAGACCTAATACTCATTAACGCCCAAGATTAGATTATGATACATGTGTAACTTTACCTGCACTGACTAGGCTTAGTTACTCTGGGCATACATTGTGAAAAGGCCCTGCACGGCCACAATGCATATAAACATAACAAGAAAGGGAACGGCAGCAGAAAGATGTTAAAGAGGGAAATGGAGAGATAGAGAGAGGAAAGAATAAGAGGCTCTGTTAAAACATGCATGATATTCTGTACCCGGTTTGTGACCTGTAATTCTCATTGTTTTGTTCAAAGTATGTGGACCTGTGAGTCTGCCAACACATTTACTACATGAATCTCTTACCTGCGTGTCTCAGTGTTTTCTAGTATGATTTTACTACATGATCTATGCAACTGACAAAAACGAAAAAACAAATACCAATAAAAATGTTATTTACAAAAAAAAGGAAGTTTAAATATTAGATGTCTATTTACAGTAAGTATTTAGGAAGTTAGTGTAAGTCACATGCAGGAAGGTGTGACTAGTGGTGTATACCCAAAGTGATTTAACTCCTCAATGGCAGAGAATTAAGCAGTTAAACTTCAGGGGCATGATGAATACTAAATTTGTTTTGGTGCCTATAATGTCCCTCTAAGGTTTTCATAGTCATTGAACATATAACGCATATAACACTTTTAATTGCTATCCTATTTGGAGCTCCTGGTTACTGCTCAGACATTTTAATCTCTAAAATCAAATATGTGGCATGTGTAGTATATCTTGCATGTACACACATGAATTAATCAAACTAATTATATCAATATTTACTGCACTGTAATTCCCTAACCATCTATCTATGCAGATGTCAAAACATTATCCAGAAACCTAAGTGCTTGAATTGATCGCAAGACTACTAAATGGACAATTACCCTACTTTAGTTTTGCCATACAGAACACTATCACTTATATATCTTTTGGCATAAATACATATGTTGATAATTTTTAGTTATAAAATTTTTCTATCACAAAAGGAATAAAATGCTGCAACCAACCATTACATGTTATCTAATATCAGTGTGATAAAAGTTTCTCTGATATACAAATCGCTATCAAAATGTTAAAATTCAGACTTCAAAATGCTGAATTTCATTATAGTGGGATACTGCAATGGCATTGCACTTATGAGAGTGCAGAGTAATTACAGTATAGTTTAAAACAGCATGAATCATTTTAGCAGGATACCCCACACTGGGAATCTGCATCTTGTGCAGAAGAATAACAATCAATCCCTTAACTTGTGGGTACCAGAGATGATGTGGTCTGTGTCTCCAATGACTCCCTATCTGAAAATAATATAATATGTGCTATATTGATGTTCTACTTATACTGAATTAAAATTAATAATTTTTACAGCAATTGTATCCCTCATATACTATATGCCATGATTAATCTTGAATGATTATGTGTTATAATTTAATGAATTACAAAAAGTATCCCTTAATAAAGCAGATCATTAAACATTTAAAAATATGAATACTCACCAGCTTCTAGAATATCCTTCATATCATTTTTAGATTGCTGGGTTTGAAAGAATACAGTCGTAGAGAGGAGATAAAAAAAATATAAAATCTTCATTTTGTAACAGATGTTTCAGTTTTCATTTTAATGCTTTCCCTTAAATACAAGTCTGGTTAAAGTTTGTTAAACAGTAAGGTAAATGTCCGGTAGTTTTCCTAAATTATTCTGTTTGATATTTATTCTGAAACAAAAAGAATATTGTTAGCACAGAAAAAGTGCACTTCTTTTACAAACAATTCTCAGGGTTGTAATATATCCAAAACTCCCCATCGTACTCATAAAGTGCAATTTATGTTCCACAATTGTCATTGAAGTGGATGAAAAATGAATCTAGTCAAATTTATGTAATTGAAATCTCATGATACTTTCTAATCATGGTTTTATGTCCTAATTTGTATTCCATATTCAGGCACACATCTTTCTGCAGACTGGGTTTTGTTTTTTTGTTATTCTTCTCCTGCTTTTTAAATCCTTGAGAGAACAAAGGTTTTCTGGACTTGTATATTCCAGAAAGAGATTCAATGCTGCATTTAAGTCCTTCCACCAAGTGGTTGTTTAAACAGTAACAGAGCGGTGTAAGCTATGGAAACACATAGCTGTCTACAGTATATGTCGATGAAGGATTCATTGTACAATCCAAGGGAGGAGTTATGTTCACATCAGCACTTACAAAATGGATTAACCTCTTCAGGGACTTTTTACACCAAGTGTGTTACAATGTTTATCTTTAACATAAGCACAGGGGATCACAGCAAGCAAAACATTCTGCCATTATGTGCACTAACAGTAGAAATCAGTTATAAATGTGTCAGTACATGTTTATACAAACCACAGACAGCATATATGTGAAATATGTGATGTTACGTTTTCTGATTGCCATTATAATTGTCTGCCTAATCTATCTATCTATCTATCTATCTATTTATCATCTATATTTTTGTCTGTCTGTCTGTCTATCTATCTATCATCTATCTGTCTATCTACCTATCTATATATCTATCTATCTATCTATCTATGGCTATCTATGGCTATCTATGGCTATCTATCTCTCTATCTATCTATCTATCTATCTATCTATCTATCTATCCTATATAGCTTATCAAAGTAACCCTCCTTTGAGCAACGTCCCTTTCTTGAACATCTCCTGAGTCATATCACTCTTTTGCTTATGTCCTTTCGGTCTCGTCTCTCCCTTGTAAATATGATCCCAGCCTCATTCTTTAGGGCTCAGCATTAGGGAAATAAAAATGGTGTAATGATCTATAAATAGGATGTGCAGATCCTTTCCTGGTTTTATAACTTTCCTATGATATTCTTGTGTGCAAGTTTAGATCATTTTGCATTTATATTGCTTCTCTATGTTACGACTCTCCAGTAATTTATTTGAACATCATTAACGAAGCACCTGTGGTAGGGAAGGCTGTTTGTTTAACCACTGCATCTGGTCAGGATTTAATTATACAAGTACAATATGGAAGGGTAGCACTGATATGAGCACATATATAAATAATGTACTGATGAAATGACTAAATGCTATACACAAGGAGTAGGGGGATTCAATGTACTTCCTGCAAATAGTACATGAAAACATCACCATAACATTCTTGTCCAGCACATGCAACAGAGCATCCCAATGTTCATATCTGGTAGCCATTGAATTATGAATTTAATTTTTCTTTTTTTCATTGAAGTATATCTAAAAACAACTCGCAGAAGCTGTAGATATTGTGTCTATAGCTTTTGCAAGCCCCTATCCCCTTCTAATCCCGCCCAGACTTTCTGTGACTGTCCAATCATACTTCCCGATGCAGCTCAATGAGAAGTCTTTGCAAGGCAGGTGCTCTGAGCCATTGTTGCCATTTGAGTTTAGCTCCACTGAGCTAAACAACCAGGAAGTAACAGGACCTGCCAGGGGGATGAAACAAGCTTTTAATAAAAGGGCCAATTTTGATTGAAATCTGAAAAAAATATGATACATTCTTCACACATAAAGCACATCAATCTTTAGTACTTTAGGGGTCTGAGGATTTCACAGGAACTGGTACACATTTAGTAAAATTGGGGGATGAAAACCTGCTAACAGTTTAATTGATATGCTTTCTTGAAGAAGTGAGTTTTCAATGCTATTTTCAATGAGTGGAGACTGGGTGAAATTCTTATGGAGAAGGGAAGGGAGTTCCACAGAAGAGGTGCAGCCCTGGAAAAGTCTTGGAGGCGGGCGTTAGAGGTGGGAGTACAACTGCAATCTGAAGATAAATCATTTGGTCCTGGGAGACTGTAAGAGCATCTCATTTGAGGCTACCTCATTCGGCCCTGTATAGTTTCAAAGGTATACACAGCGGATATTATATATATATTATATATATAATGTAAAGGATCTAATAGTGTCCACAATTGAAAATGTTATGCATTTATGGAAACATTTTAATGTTTGAGCTTTCCAAAATACTACAAAATTCACTATATATCCACCTTCAATTTGCAAACAAACAAAAACAGCAGTCAGGTTATTGATTCAGTCAGCGGAATAATCCCCACTGGCAGATATATGGGTCACAAATCTCTTCAACAGGCCCAGTAAAATATAAAACAATAAGAAAGAGTCCCTTAGTGTAGTATCTCTTGCAAAAAGGACGTAGATGCAATAAGTAAAACAAGATGCACTCACAAGTGTAGGCAGCATGTGGCAGTACAAATCCCAGCCACAGCATGTGGGAGTTCATTACACATATGAAAAATAAAGGATAATATATAGTGCTCACTGTATATTGCAAATGTGAACAAAGCAAAAATAAAGGATAATATATAGTGCTCACTGTATATTGCAAATGTAAACAAAGCAAAAGAATGCTACGAACAATTTTGGTCATCTCATCTTCCTGTCCTTCCGCACTTCCCTCGCCTCACCCTTCTGTCAGTCCCTGCATTGGCTTCCCATAAGATATAGGGCTCAATTTAAAATTCAGTTTTTTTGCTTTGAAATCTCTACATAATGCTGATCCCCTTCCTAATACACAAGTATGTCACGTAGCTCTACCGAAGACCTATGTCTATTCTCTGTTCGTACTACCACTTCTGTTGCTCGCCTTCAAGACTTCTCCAGGGCTGCACGATGCTGTGAAATTCCCTTCCCTTCTCTCTAAGTTCCTCACCCAGTCTCAAAAAATCATTAAAAACTAACTTTTTCACAAAAGCATTTCAATTATACTATTAATTTCTCCCAATTGATTCCTCTCCTGTAACTATCTTTAAAAAACACACTAAGTCTCCAGTGAGTACTATTTTGCCAATCTACTTCTCTACTCCTAACCTTACCTTTTGTGTCACTTTATTCCCTGTAGTATGTAAGCTCATTGAGCAGGGCCCTCAATCCCTCTGTTCCTGTGCGTCCAACTTGTCTAGTTACATTTACATATTTGTTAGTCCACCCATTGGACTAACAAAAATGTAAATATAACCAGACATTGGCTGCGAAATTTGTTGGCGCTATATAATAATAATAATAATAATAATAATAATAATAATAACAATAGTAATTAATGGGTAACAATTGGAATCAATTGATTATATATTTATTTTTTATTCTTTCTCTTTCTCAATATTTACATTATGTTACCTCTTCTTTTCACTTTTTAGGGTTTTTGACCATTATATTCTCCCTGTTTTAATTCTGAAGCCTAATGACCCATTTTAATCATGTACCACTGTTATTTCTATTATTCTTTTTAGTTCCACACAATTTTCAATTATTTTACCTCTTATCATGTGATCACAATTGCGAGCACTTAAGTTTTCACTTTCTCTTCCAAACACCATCATGTTCCCTATGAATAGAGACAGTACTCACATATGGTGGGTTCCATAGGGATACCTGGAGGTTTGTCCTGGGAAGCCAGGGGAGGAAGATGATGTATTGCTTGGTGGAACACACTCTGCGTCGCTCTAATTAAGTTTGTGCAGGCTGTGAGCAACTACGTCCTGATGGTTATATGAAAAATTATGTAACCCTTTGCAGAAGACGCCTTTGAGTAAGCTAAAAAATGGGAAATGTAATCCTTTTTCAATTAGTTCAATTCAGATCTGCAACAAACTTTCTTTGACCTTCAACAATCCTTGACTTAAATAAAGTGCCAGTAAGTAGGAAAAGAAAGAGAGAAATGGTTCATCCTCTCATTGTGAGTAACTTGAGGAATATATATATATATATATTTTTAGGAGGAAATCAATCAATAAGCAGAAAAAAAGAAGTGATTAAAAAGGCCTTGTCCGTACAACCAGTTTTGGGAAAGAAAGAATGGCAAGTTCCTTCTAAATTTAACTTTTTTTTTTTACTGAACATTTTAAAGAATTATTTGCTATAAATGAAAATTAAAAAAAATAAAAATAAAAATAGAATCTACCTAATGCAGACATCACAATACTCCAGCTTGGCAAGAAGGCCAAGTTCCCTATTGGAGATATGAGTGGCAAAGAATCAAATAATACTAACAATTCATTGGTTAAGTTCTTTCAACTTTCAGACTTCTGACGTATACCATATATTGTTTTTGCCATAAGTTGTATAATGCTTAACTCTTTAATTGCTGATTTCAAAATAAACTCGTAATACTGTTATATGTTTATTTTATCATTGTAAACTTATCATACTGCACTGCAAACATTCTGCTCTATCTGTAGATAGATCTTTGTTAATATTATGTTCGAAATATCCTTAACCCCTTAAGTACGGCGGGCGTTCTATGCCGTGTTTTTTGGGGTGGTCTAAATGCCGGCGGGTGGCATAGAACGTCCCCACCATCCAGGGCATTTACCAGGTCCCTGCCGATCCCACACAGGCGGTCACGTTCCTGGAGTCTGCCTGGGAGCTCAGGCAGACTCCCTCTGCCCAATCTGCCCCCACCCCCGCCGGCCATGTGATCTCAGGATCCTTGCGATCACATGGAAGGAATAGGTGGCTTATGCAGTGTCTGCAGGGGGTCTGCCTGAGCCTCAGGCAGTCCCCCTAATGCTTGCAAAACAGTTTTTAAAGTTAGTAAAAATAAATAAAAAGTTTAAGAAAGTAAATAAAAGTACTTGGATCATATATATATATATATATATATATATATGATCCAAGTTCTTTTATTTGCACATACATAAACCATTAATAAAAGTGTATTTTAATATTAATATACATATATGTATTTATATATATAATAATAATATTAAAATACACGTGTATTTTAATATATATACATATATTAATATTAAAATACACGTAGAATGACGTTAATGATATATATATATATATATATATATATATAAAATAAAATCAATATCAAAATCAATAAATAAATTGAAAAATATGGAAAAAAATAAAAAAATAACGAAAAAAATTATATACCATTTTTAATTTGTTCTAACTGTATTTTGATATTAATATACATATATATTAAATTCAAAATACATTTAGAAAGACATATCTATCTATCTATACATATATATAGCTATATATAAATAATAATAATATAATAATACATGTATTTAAATTCTACAAATATATTTATATAATTAATTAATATATTAATTAATATTAATATTAATTACAATTTGAGGGACCTGCCTGACAACCCAGGCTGAAAGTCCAGAGAATTTGGCTTGCAAGTCCTATATTTAGGATACATTGTAGTACGATCTGGTTCCACATTCAATAAGAGAGACTTTCCAACTCACAGCCTGGTCTCTGAACAGCAGATTCTAGAATATTGAGAAGATTATGCAAATAGATCCTCTTTCAGCATCCATTCTGAAAATTCTACTTTTTCTACAACGGGGTTTAAGAAGGGTCTTAAATACGCCTCCTTTAAAGCCCAAATACCAAGTTTTTATTCTTCAGGAACATTGCCACATTTATTTGATTTACTAAAGCGATCCATAATTTCCTATCCACAGTCACAGAATCGATCCCCCCATGGGATTTGAATATAGTCCTTTTAGATTTATGTGATCGAACAAATCTGTTCTACTGATCTTAAATTTCTGATGTGGAAAGCTATCTTTCTAATAGCCGTCACTTCAACTAAGAGGCTGGAAGAATTACACGCTTTATCTAACATATACTTGTTTTTCCATATGGATAAGGTGTTCCCGAGACTACATCCAAAATTTCAACCTAAAGTTTAATCAGTCAATAATCAAAAGGAGATTATCATACCTACATTCTGCAGGAATCCTATGAATGAGAAAGAACAGAGATTTTACCGATTGGATGTTAAGAGAACACTGCAATGCTATTTGGACAGAATATATTCTTTATGGAAGTAATTCTATGTAAAAGGGGAAAAAAAGGGGGAAATGGCTTTGAAAACAACACTGAGCAAGTGGATGAAAGAATCCATTGTCTTTTCATACACTTCACAGTCTCTTCCCCCTCCTCCGCCGATTAAAGACCATTCAAGGGCTATGGCATGGACTGAATATGCTTCATCTGAATACATTTTTCTTTAAACAATTTCATGAAGCACTATCATCTAGACATACTTACCTTGGAAGATTCTAGATTTGGGCACAAGGCATTGCAAGCTGTTATGAAGACCTGACCCACCCTTTTGTTATATAACTTTTTTAATCCACATATGTGAGTCGGAAAGGAGCTCAATCTCCCAAAAGTCAGAATAGTGATCAACAATTAGTAAAAAATCTTGCCCTGCATAATTGAATAGGTCCATGCTTTACAGGTTGCCATGGTCGGATAGGCAACACATGCGACATCATGAGTTCTTTCTGCTGTGTCTGTGCACATTCATTGCATGTCAAACAACAGCTAACAAAATCTTTCATCTCATTTTGCATATTGGGCCAGGATAATGTATCTCGTGCCTGCCTATAACATGCATCTCCACCAATGTGACTGGCATGTATGCGTGTCAGCGTCACCGATCTTAGTGATTTAGGAATGATGACCCTTGGTCTCTTGTACAGTACACCATTCTGAATGCTGATTAGATCTTGGAAAGTCCAGTATTCCCTCACAATTAACAGCATCTCTTCCTCTGAATCTGTCCAACCATTAAGAACAAGAGACTTAAGTGCTCACAAACTCTCATCGAATTCTGTGTGTTGCCTTATCTGAAACAACTGTTCTGCTCTGTGACATTTAAATAATCTGAATGATTAATAAGCATTAGATCATTCAGCTCTTGTTGAACATTGCAAACTGTGTGTTGTGCAAACTCCGGTGTACCACCTACTGCTATAGCTCTGCTATGAGTGTAACAAATGTACATTTTAAGTACAGGTTGATAGACAATATTTAGGCAATAATTTTGTAACATGAGCAACATGCTCTGTAGCTGTTTAGGTGCACACAAAGTGGTTTCTAAAATTAGATATCAGAGGCTTATGGTCAGCTTCTGCAGTGATCTTGTCATGTCCATAAAGGTAGTGAATTTAGTGCGTAGTTTTGTGCAGTAGGGGTCAGTGAACCAAAATCTACAGGCTGGTCAGCTTGCAATAGGCAACAACCAAGTCCACTTTTTCTTTTGTCACTTTGATTAGTTACAACTTTTGTAATGTCATAGCACTTCAGGACACTTGATGTCCTGCACCACATTGTAATGCTTAGGAAGCCAATGCCAAAACACATCTTTGTCTGGAAGCCTTTTCAAACCTCTGAGAGATGCAGTAGGAATTTCGCTAGGTAGGTAACAAATACTATGAAGAGCTGCAGGGATTACACAGTGGGCTGTGTCATATCTTGTATGGCTCTGATTTACCCAGGGTCTGCCTTTAAACCCTTCCAGGATAGTATGTGTATGCAGACCTTTTTGACCTTGAATTGCAGTTTCTTTAAGCCAAGTCTTATCGTCACCTGCCTACAAAGAATTATCAGTTCCAGCAGTTTGCCATCATGATCTTGCTCTGCATCCCCATCTTTATCCTCACAGCCAACCACAAGGATGTTATCAGCTATTGGTTCAATTTCTCTAAGATCAGCCATTCAGCCATTAGTTCATGTTGCATACGTTGACACACTTCTGGTGAAACTAATATTGCAAAAGGCAATTCAAGCCATATTTTCTACCCCAGGGAGTTCAAAAGGTTATCATGTAACTATTTGCGTTGTCCAGCTTACATTGTAAAAATACATTCCGTGCATCGACAAGCGTGAACAAACCTGTCTTAGACAGCTTGTACAAATACATCCTTAAGAGTAGGCATGATGTAGTAAGATCACATCAGTGCCTGATTTAAGAACTAGGGATCTATGCATATTATTAGCTTATCAGGCATTTTTACAATCACCATGTTACTTATGCAATCAGTTGGTTCTGTTATGTGTGTTTTATGTCCATCAGCCTCATACTGGTCGATCTGTACCTTAACTGCCTGTTTTATGCTCACAGGCACATTGCGTGGTGCACATTATACTGGCGAGACACTCACGTCAAGATCAAAATGTACTTTCTGTTACAGATTCTACTGGTCCATTAAAAAATTTCTATATTCTTTTATTAGAAGTTGTTTATCAAAGTTTTAAATCATTGTCCATCACATTGAGCTCTGCGGGAATGGAAGAATGTATCAGCCCTAGACGCTCACCGGTTGAGCGGGACAACAGTGCCTTCTGGCAGGCTTTCACAATTTCAAAGTCTAGCTTGTGTGTCAGTCCATGTACGGCACATGCTGTCCTAAAGAGTCATAGAGATTTTGTGAGCTCACCTGAGTACAACTTTAGCCTGGTGTCACTTGGAAGTAGACATGCTTCTGGTGCTAACTTCATCTTATCTCTCAAGCACATTACATCACATGTTGCCCCTGAATCAAGCCGACAGGATTGGGCTTGTTGCATAAAGTTAAAGTGACAAACCATTTCTTTCCTCTGGTTTGCACAGAGCCGATCAATTCACTGCTGTATGTCGCATCGGCAGCCTGCGGCTTATCCTCATATGCAGATGTATTCTCTGTGGAGTGTAACTTTCCTATTGATGGGTGTCTTTTACTTGATAAACATACAAACATTAGCAAAATTATTTGTTCTCCCACAAGACCTATAAGACTTCCCATAAGCATTACACTTTTGCACTATAGTCAGTTTGCAGTATTTGTACTAAACAGGCAACGTTGTTACTGCGGTTTGCTTAAGTGTTGTCACTGCATTGCAATGTTTATGCTGTTGGTTTGCTGTCTGTCCTATTCCATAACTTTCATACGTCTGTTAGTGTGTGCTGTGCTGTACGGCACGTTTCAATGGCTATGTTTAAATTTAATTCACATTCTCTTATGCCTGCCTGTGGTCTCACTAGCTATACCGAGAAACAATTCTGTCAGTTATTAATTCATCCCTCAGTGTACCATATTCACAAGTTACAGCTTTTTCTCTCAAGCGTGTAACAACATTATCGAGAGATTTTCTATCTTCTTGTTTGCAGCATCCAAACACATATATTACAATTTTAGCAGGTTTGAAGTAAGCTTCAAATGCATCTAAAATGTTTGCAACATCCTCTTTCTGCTCTGCTGTGAGGTTCAGATGGTTCTTATAAACATGTTTGCATTCACTGACCATGACTCTACTCAGAGTTGCTGCCAGACAGAGTTACAGTATTTGCATAATAACTCCAAACAGTATTTAATTTATTTAGAATATAGTTTTCTTGTGGATTATACCCTTCTCGCTTATTTTCTTTTCCTGATTGCCCAAGCTTGGATACATTGGAGCAACACCAAGACATATATCCCTGGTGGGGATTGTACCACCCACTCTGATTTAGCAGAGCAAGCTATCTGCTCCATAAATTGTAAGTGCCATTCTTTGATTCTTTGGCTCTGTTCATATTTGCAATATACAGTGAGCAGTATAATATACATTATCCTTTATTTTTCATATATGAACAACATTTGAAGAATCTATAATAATGTCCATGTCCTGAGGATAGTACCACTACACACTGGCTAACTTGAGCTTGTTTGGAAGTGTTATACTTGTGAGTGTACCTTTTTATCCTTTTTACATCTTCAGCCTTTTTGTCATAGATACTGCAATACAGGATTTTTGTTTCTTGTTCTTGTTGTTTATGAGATTTCATGACCCATATTTCCATCAACAGGGATTGTTCTGTTGGACACTGTTATTATATGAGCTCATCTGAATCTCAGCCAAATTTTTTTTCTCATTAATTGCTATTATTTCATTCTCAACATACTGCACTATTGTACTATTCTTCTGTTTTATCTCCTCTCCATATATCATATTAAGGACCAATATACTCAAGAATGTATTTAAGGATCTGGAATTTATATCTATTGATGTATGTTCTACTAAAACTATATGCTTTTGATATAGGACTGTAAACATGGATTTGATAGGGCAATATGGTACTTTTTGTTTGTTTCCATCGTTTGCTCTTTTGTGGATAGAGGGACCCTTGATTTCCAGTGTTTGCTACACTGCTTACTTCATTGCAGGTATTTAGCACTGTAACCATTTCTATCTTTTGTTGTACTTATTCAGCCCTATATTTTCCCAAAAGCTTGACAAGGGTATGCAAAGGGGGTCATTCTGTATTCAGGACATATAGCTGAGCACAATTTAGTGATTTATTTTACAGTAGCACACATCATGTTTACAAAATAAACTGCTAAATTGCAAAGTGTATGTAAAAAAACCAAAAATGGAAATAATACCATAATATTTTAAAGTATTTGGAGCAAAAACTTACTATACAATAAAGATCCAACGCATTCCATATGATAATCCCTGTTTCTGTCTACGTTTACAAATGGAATTCATTTATAGGGTAATTTGAACTTCACAAAACAGTGGAAAAGTCATACACTGGAAGAATTGTTTTACTCAGCTGAGTATCATTCAGGGTACAATCATAGTGCACATATCAGATTTACAAAAAGCCTGGTAAAATGCAATTTGTATGATATATCCTGGAATGTCTTCTTTGAAAAATAACAGGCCTTGATGGAGTAATTTGAACAGTCAAACTGCTACAATGCCCATAAATAAGATATCAACCATTTAAATCCATCTACAAAATTCTAACTGTAAAAACTGATATAGCAAGGTCTCATATATTCACTGTAACTTCATGGGATAGCGACAAATACATACACTGGGGTATTGTACAGAAGATGTAGCTGAACATAATTTGGGGTTTTGTACAGGAGCGGCACATATTAGGTTTTTAAAATACACCTAATGAATCCTTGTGAAAGTGTGTATGCAAGAAAAACCACAAAAAAAAAAACACAGTTTACTACAATGTGTAGCAGAAATTGGCAGATAAATGGCTATGTAAAAAGCATCAAAATACCCTTATGCAAATGAAATACCCTGTGATGTCTACTTAAATAAATATGGCAATTTTGTTTTCTATGCAGGTTTTTTAAGTTATTAGCCATGCATCAATTCTGAAATCATTACACATTGAAATTGTATTTTACATCCTGTATTTTGTGACCAGTAACAAAATTAAATTAAAATCCTAGACATGGTGTATTATATAAATAGGGACAAATAAATACATTTGTTTTTAATTAAATTTCAGCATTGATTATATACACATTGTTATTGCCAAAATTGTCAATAAAAATACTAATATAATATAATAATATGTCTGGGTGCAATAAATGAGGTAGATGTGAATTATCACTGAACACATACACAGGAAAAATGCCAAGAATAAGCAAACTGAAGCTGTACCCTTAAAGCAGCACTGTCACTCTGCAGGTTTTGTTTTCAAATCAATCATTTTTAGTCCCTTTATTACCCTTTGTCTGTATGTTAAAAAAGAATGGACTACTTTTTCATATGGTGAGTGTGATCAAGCACTCTTTGGCAAACTGCAAGCCAGTCATCTGTCTTGATTTAAGCAAGACAGGACTCATTATGTATCCTTGACTCTAAGCCAATTTAGTTGCCCCTGCTTAGCTGAGTGGAGCTAAATGGATTCTCCTTGCAGAACAAATTACTCTGGGAGGGTACCAGGACACCTTGACCATGAAAGCAGTCTATAGCAGTTATGATACTTTGAGTATTCCCTGTTAGTTTATAGAGCGCTGTACAGGAGTATCTAAAAATGTAATTTATTTAAATGTGCTATTTGAATTTGTTTGATGCTTTGCTCTGTTCGTTTATACCTGGTGGTACATTTGTATCTAGACAGATTCTTGGTTTTCACAGGACAGTTACAGTCCCTAATATCCCTTTTTATAATTGTCTCAGGATTCTGCAACCCATGTAAAAATGACATTAAAAAAAGTCTTATTACACATACGCGACATGAGCGTTAAGCTTGTGAAACCACTAATACACAGCTTACCTAATCAGTAGGTGTAAGTGGCGTAAAATATATTGCCTAATACTGGGGCTGCAAAGCTAACATTCCTATTCCAAGGATGTACTCCAGATGAACTTGGTGATATCAACTGTGTGATAAGCAATTGGTAGGTCTAAATTATATTATTTATTGATATGATTATTAGTTATATGATTAAGGCATAGTGATTGGAGCTATTAACACTAGTAGGCATGTTTAACACTTCTGTAAACATATAATGTAATTACTCCGGAGTCACAGGTGGCAATAGTTCTAAAATGCTTAGACAAATTACTCTGAGAGAGAACCATAATTATTAAAGCATGTTATAGTGGTTATGGTTCCCTGACACCTCTCAATTGCTAATTGTATGGATACATATAGATCATCGATATTTTTTTTTTTAATTCTTTATTTTTGCAGTGCTGAGTATGACATGTAAGTTTATTGTAACATTTCATATGAGTACAAAGAGCAATACAGAAATGTAGAATGTACATGAAATTTAGAGGATACTGCCCTATTTTTTATATAGAGAGGTCAAGTGCGTTCTACTGGTCGATTAAATAGAGAAAAATATAAAATGTTGAAGAATAGATCTGTAGTAGCTTATAAGTTGCATTTATCACTGGGTAATTAAATTTGACAGTTGCAAATTATCAAGTATGGCACAATTAACATGTAGAATATTTAGGTCATATCAAACAGTGTGCACATAAATAACAAAGAAAACAACTAAGTTGCAGGTTAGTTCTGTAGATCACTCATCCTACCCCGGGATGGGGCTTCCACCATTATCCACACTTTCAAGGTAGCCCTTCCACTGTGCCCAAGTTTTCAGACAGTCCGACTGTGTTTCTCTTAAGAGGTTAGCCAGGGCTTGCTGCTGCAGCTCTTTGGTCTTGCTTAGCCAGCTGCATGGATTGGAGGCCAACCCTTCACTACCTCCTTTGGGTCCCAAAGACCCTAAGGCCAGAAAGAGCAAGTATGCTCAATACCACGAGAACACTGATACAGGTGTGGGACAGGGCAAGACTCCATTTGTGTAGCGGCAGCCAGTGGTCGCAGGCTGCCCCCATGAGGAGCATCCAGGTACTAAACCTCCTTCAATTACCACGCATGGTCAGAAAACGGATGCATTTATATACACCACTTATACCTCGACGGAAAACTACGAACATTCCCAGACCTGCAAAACACATACAATTTGCACTTTAGGGCGCTTTTCTCGTATCTCCAACTTAAATCGATACTACCTAGCACCAGAGAAGGCGGAGTCTCCACACCCACACTTACACACTTTGAGCGGGCATGCATGACAGAACATACCCCCAAAAAAACACTCTCCAACATTTACAAACTTCTGAACCAACCAGACCACAGGGACTCACAGTGGATAGCTGATTCTATAGCTATCCACTGTGGAGGATCCCTGAGAACGTGTGAACACACCACCGTGGAGAGTACCCCTGCCCGGTAGTAAAGCTTGAGGTTTGGCAGGCTGAGGCCACCGTCCTCCACTGAACTATGAAGGATTCTGGTGGCAATCATCGCTCTCTTGCGCTCCCACATAAACTGCATTAGGAGTTTCTGTGTAGTGGTGATATAAGATTGTGGGATGTGAATTTTTTGGAGGTATTAGTAAGAGGAGCATCTTTACAGCTGACATCCGACCCAGCCACGATATGTATTTCCCCTCCCACGACTTCAGAGTCGCTTTGATGTCTGCGCGTAGCCTGATGTAATTTGAGTGGAACAGATTGTCTGGATTTTGGGTAATTTGGAGTCCTAGGAAGGACACAGAGTCTGACCTCCTGTCTAGCTGAAATGTTTGTTGTAGCATGGCTAGGAGTGTAGGTGCGATAGCTATGCCCATTGCTTGTGTTTTTGACACATTCAGTTTGTAGTAGGAGTTTTCCCCATAGTCTTTTATTTCCTGGAGGAGGTTCGCAGAGATATCTGCAGTTGCTCCAAGGTCAGAAGGACATCGTCTGCGAACAAATTTGTTTTGTATTCGCGTTCACCTATCCTGACTCTGTTATTGTCAGCATTATCTCTATTCCTAGCAGCTAGCGGCTCCAGAGCCAGAACATATAGAAGGGGTGACAGCGGGCAACCCTGCCTTGACCCATTTGTGATCTCGAAAGGGTCTGATAGGAAACCCGCATTGAGGACTTGTGTGGTCGGCGTGCTCTGCAGTGCCCTGACAGCCCCCGTGAACCCCACTGGTATTCCCACCTTGGCCATGACCAACTCTAGGAACCCCCAGTGTAGGTGGTCAAAGGCTTTCTCCGCATCGAGGGACATAAGCAGTCCCCTTCCTTTGTTAAGTTGCCTCATGCTGTACATTATGTCGAGGACTTTGCGGGTGTTCTCCGATCCCTGCCTGCCCTCTACAAATCCCACTTAGTCTGAATGTATAAGATGGGGTAGGACCTTCTCCAACCTAAGGGCAAACAGTTTGGCAAAGAGTTCAGGAGTGAGATTGGCCGGAAGTTTTGCGGTTGTGTCTGGGGCTTGCCCGGCTTAGGTAGAGTAATTATATGTTCCATGAGTGAGTTTTTATGTTGGGCTTGTCTAGTAACCGCCTTGTTAAACATCTGTGTGAGTGGGGTGCTAGGATAGTGCAGTAGATTTTACAGTAACAGGTATCGAATCCGTCCGGGCCAGAGGGTTTCCCTTTTTAAAAAGTGTTTATCACTGATAGGACTTCTTCCTCTGTTACGGGTATTGTCAGGTTTATTTGTTGTTGCGTCGTGAGTGTTGGGAGCTTAGTGGACTGTAGGTAGGCGTCAATAGTCTCTTGAGAAGGTTGGTGCTTGAGTGTGTCATGCCCAAGGTTGTAAAGTGTTGTATAATAGTGTGCAAATTCGTCGCTAATGTCCTTGGGTATCATGATTTTCTTTCCCTCTTTTGAGAGTATGAATGCTAGTTTTTGCTTGCTCTGTTTGGTTTTGAGGTGAGACACCAGCAGCTTAGTAGCTTTGTTACCCTGCGTATACTGAGTTAATTTCAGTTTCCTGAGGGCATGTCCGGACTGTTCGAGAGCTTGGCGGTATATGAGGTGTGTGAGATGGGCTTTTTTTTTTTTAGGTCATCTGATGGGGTTCTTTGGTTCTGCATGTTTAGTTGGTACAGGTCCGTTTGCCAGGTAAATAGGGACTCCCTTGCTTTAAAAAAAAAAAAAAAATATGTCACCCTTCTTATCAGTACACCTCTGGCTACTGCTTTGTGTGCCATATAGTAGTTGCGGTCATGTCTGGTGTTCAGTTGTCCTTAAAGTAGTTTGTAAGTGTGGTTTGGAGTTCTTGGGTGAACGTTGGGTCTGTCAGTAGGGTCGTGTTAAGCCTCCACGGGCTTCTGTATCGGAAGTCATATTAGTTTTTGAGTTCTAGTGTGACTGGGACATGGTCTGACCATGAGATGTCGCCTATGTCACACCGTGAGAACTGCGAGAGGGCAGAGCCATGCAGGTAGAATCCATCTATGCAGGAGTAGAAGTTATGCACAGGGGAAAAGTGCATGTAGAAGCTGGATTTTTCCTGCCTCTCTGTGTTCCGCTTACCCTTGGTCTGGGACATGGTCGTTTTGGGCTCAGGTCTGTGTGTCGGTCTAGTTAGGAAGGAGCAGCAACTACATGTGACTGCTTCGAGTTGTGTCCAGGACACGCCCCCTATATCCAGTCTTTTTTAGTAGCCACTTAGTCACAAACACTGGCCAAAATTGGCATTCAAATTCGTTTTTTGCATTTTTCACACACAAACAAATATTAACACTAACTTTAGCCAATGTTTGTGACCAAGTGGCTACTAAAAAAGACTGGACATACCCCATTTGCAATACCTTGGGTTGTTTACTTTTGCAAATGGTATGCCATCATGGGGGTTATTCTTATTCCTGGGCTACCATACGGTCTCAAAGGCAACGTAACTAATCTGGTGAATTTCAATGTGAAAAAACTGAAAAATGTAACATGCTATATTTGACCCTGTAACTTCCCAAAACACCATAAAACTTGTACATAGGGGTACTGTTTTACACGTGAGATATCACTGAATACAAATATGTGTATTTTATTACAGTAAAATCAAACAGTATTATGACATTCACAGTTAGAATGTCACATAGAACTAAACTTATTTAAAAAAAATCTTATTTTCTCCCATTTTTTTTTATATTTTATTCGTATTAAATTATGTTCCATACCTAAATATTTGATGTTAAATGAAAGCCTTGTTTCCCCTGACTAAAAGATAGGGGCGGGAGCAGATCTTCCTTGATTGAGAGCCTTAAAGACATAAAGTTGGCTTTAGATTTTTGTTCAGAAGCTGCAGTGGATATAGTGAGAGCATATCCAGAAATACGATTCTTTCCATGGCTGCTAGAAGATCCCTTTGGCTCAGATCCTGGTCAGCAGATACCTCCTCCAAGCACAGTTTGTGTACACTTCCCTTTCATGGGGATATGTTGTTTGGCAAGAACCAAGATGACTGTATTAAAAGAGCAGCGGAAGGGACAAGAGCTTTTATACCAGAAGATCTCAAAACCAAGCCTCCTTTTCGTCCTAAAAGATCTTCAGAGAATTATTATTTTCAAGACAACAGAGCATACAGATCAGGAAGAGAATATGGAAGATCCTAATCTTGGAGGATGGTCAATCTGGTTTCAGAATTTAAAGGTCCAGAGTAAATATGTCAACCAGGAACCCAAGATCCTTATGACTCCCAGTCCGAAGGAGTAGAGGCACATCTGCTCCTATTCAGAGCGGCATGGGAAGTTTCTACACAAGACAAGTGGGTTTTAGACACCATCCAGAGAGGATACTTGCTAGAGTTCTTCCAAAAACCTCTGTGGTGTATATTCCAGGTTACAAGATGGCCAGGAGACAAAGAAAAGAAAGTGGCCTTGCAAGAATGTATTTTCTCCCTTCAAAGACAAGGAGTGATAGTTCAGGTTCCAGATCCAGGAAAGACTTATTGTTTCTACTCACATCTCTTTCTAACAAAGAAAGCTTCAGGGATATGGAGACTCATAAGAGATCTACACAGACTGAATCTACACCTAAAGATCAGAAAATTCAAGATGAAATCCCTTCAGTCTATCATAAAGGCAGTATTCCTGGGCCAATAGTTAATGTCAATAGAATTATTGGATGCTTATTTTTACATTTCCATTGCGCCTCAACATAAAAAATTATGGGCGATATCCTGATAGTAGCAGACAACAAAGACAACCTAGCTTTGGATGGACAGATCTGCCTCAAGTTCCTTTAAAAAATGGATGGAAGATAAACTACAAAAAGAGCCATCTTTCCTCTACTTGGACAATGGTCTACCTGGAAGCTCTATTCGATACACCCAGAGGAAAGGTCCAGCTGTCGCAAGAAAGAATTTACAGACTAACAACGAAAGTAAAAGAAATGTTGCCTCACGGAGTGACTACAGCAAGGAAAACCATGAGTCTTCTAGGTTCTATCTCCTCCACCATAAGACTGACAAGATGGACCTAGTTGAGAATGAGGTTATTTCAGTCCAATTTCCTTCATCAATTTACATCAGGAAATCTTCATCAAGCCATCAAAGTTCACCAGAGGTTCATCAATCCCTGATCTGGTGGTTAATTGTAAATTGAATGTAAATTCGGACTAATTTCGGGCAATTCGGACATTCGGATACTTCCGAATGTCCGAATAGCTGAATTGCCGAATTGCCGAAGTGCCGAAGTTCCGAAATTGCCAAATTTCCGAAGTGTTGAAGTTTCAAAGTACCGAAGTTCCGAAGTTGCAGAAGTTCCAAAGTGTGAAGTGCCGAATTTCCGAAGCACAGTATTGCCGAAGTACTAATATACCTACCCAGTGGAAGAATGAAGAATGTTACACTGTATACAAGTTTAAATAAAAAGTAATTCATCCCTCAGTGTACCATATTCACAAGTTACAGCTTTTTCTCTCAAGCGTGTAACAACAT